CTCTGCATTCATATGAGAAGGTCCATCCATCATCAACGAAAGGTGTAAAATAAATGAAGGCCAGAACTGATTTGGGACTTGATTGGACCTCTGTCCTGATAACAGGGGTCGTTTCTTGCCTGTCTTATGATTCCATGGAGATGTAAGCTGCTCAAAATTGCTAGAGGAGATCACGGAGAACAGACCATAATCCAATAATAGCAATAGCATTTAGACTTATATACCACTTCAAGTGCTTTTATGGTTTGCAGATTCAGCCTCTTGCCCCCAGCAATCTGGATCCTCATTTGACCCACCTCAGAAGGACGGAAGGCTGAGTCAACCTGGAGCCTGGTGAGATTTGAACTGCCAAATTGCAGGCAGCCGGCAGTCAGCAGAAGTAGCCTGCAGTACTGCACTCTCACCACTGTGACACTTCGGCTCATGCTGTAATGGAGAATATTTGTAGCTCAGGGTTGACCTGAGGGGTCCTTGGTGCTCTCTGAGCTTGTTTTCTTGCAGACGTTTCATGACCCAACTAGGGAACATCATCAGTGCTAGTGACGGTGTTGCCTAGTTTGGGTCATGAAATGTCTTCAAAAAAAGCAAACAAGCTCAGAGAGCACCAAGGACGCCTCACAAACCATAATAAATGCAAATTGAGAAACAAATGTCGGCCTTCTCACATTTTGATTTTATGCGATTTCCAACGGGAGAATCTCAGCGTTGAGGTGCGTCAAGCAAAAAAGGCCACCTACATTGTGCCAGATGTTCTTCTCGCCTTCTTAATCCTGAGCGTTAAGTCACCGAGATTTCCCCAGATTTAATTAACTTTGGACTGACTGGTGGGATTCAGAATAATCTGTTGCTTCGTTTCTAACCAAAGCCAAATGTGCCCCAGTTCAGTAAAACGCTGGAGACAACACAACACGCCTCCTTCATATCCGCGTCCTGACATCACGCACATCTACAAATTTGGAGAGATGTTTATTTTATTTTATGGAGTTGTTTTAAGATGATTTAAGGTTCTCCTCGTTTGTAAATATGTGTGATGTTTGGTCAGTTTGGCCTAGTGGTTAAGGCACTGGGCTAAAAGTAGGAGTTGGTGAGTTCTAGTTCAGCTGGGTGGCTTTGGGCCAATCACCAGGAGACAGTGAGTTCTAGTCCCGCCTTAGGTATGAAAGCAACTGGGTGACTTTGGGCCAATCACCAGGAGACAGTGAGTTCTAGTCCCATCTTAGATATGAAAGCAACTGGGTGACTTTGGGCCAATCACCAGGAGACAGTGAGTTCTAGTCCCATCTTAGATATGAAAGCCAACTGGGTGACTTTGGGCCAATCACCAGGAGACGGTGAGTTCTAGTCCCGCCTTAGGTATGAAAGCCAGCTGGGTGATTTTGGGCCAATCACCAGGAGACGGTGAGTTCTAGTCCTGCCTTATCCAGGAAAGCCAGCTGGCGACTAAACAGTAAACACACACGCACACGTTATGACACAAAAGAGGGCTTGTAATGTTACGATCCCTCATTTCATTGTATATATAAATGGATTAAATTTAAAAAAATAAATAAAATGGGAGGCCACCACAAGGGAGGCCAAGTATTTCTCGAAGGAAGTGACTAGGAGAGAGAGAGCCCTTGAAAGCAGTTGAGCCCAACTGGGATCAACCTCTGGGCAGCGTCCGACCACATCTGTGTGAAGATGCCATGCAGAGCTGCCTTGCTGGGTACGTCAGCTGGAGGAGAACATCTAAGATGGGAGACTGAGATGCTCCAAGATGATTGACCCAAAGTCTTCTCTGTCCCTGGACCCTCCAACCATTAAAGATCATGGAGGAATCATGAACCTTGGTCTTCCCCCAAAGAGAAATTCTCCCATTCTTTGCTCCATCAATCATGCCTGCCCACCTCCAACCTTCTCCATTCCATTCTTCTCCCTCATAGTTTCCTGTCCTTCCCTCCAAGATAGAGCAAACTCGGAAACCAAAACAGGCAATTCATGCTACTTTCATGATAAGGTTATAGTAACAAGAGTGTTGCAAGTCTGAATTTGCTTCCCTCTTTCCTTCTTTAATCTTCACGAGAAGTTGAGAAGGTCAGGTCTTAGATGCTTTCTCAAATTACACTTCTGCTTTGGACTCAGATTTCTTTTATCTGACTGTTGTCTTGGTTTCAGGTCTTCCTCCTGCTCCTCAAAGTTGTTCTTTCTACACATTACAGACCACTACAACCAGTCTGACACTCTCAAGAATATTGAGATACATGTGGTTGGCTTTGGAGGCCCATCCGTAATGATTTTCTTTTCATTATGAGGTCAACTTGGAGCTCTCTTAAGGCTGAAAACTCTTCTAGTGTGTGTGTGTGTGTGGAAGACGCTACTTTGGACAGGATTAGCAATCACAACTTGACCCTCACGAGGAGAGGGGTGGGTTTAACAACTTACTGGGAAGCTCATGTCCTCCTCCAAGACTTTATCTCCAACCACCTGCAAGAAAGAAGAAGAGGGCAACTGAGAAGTGGAGGAAGGAGAAGGAATCTGAAGGGAATGGAAGCTTCGGAGGAGTTTGTTCCCTATAAAGTCCGTTGGGAGGAAGAGTGACAAAAATTTGGGCTGGGCAGAAAAAAACCCTGCTGAATTTTTCCCCTTTCATTTCCCATCCCATAAGAAGAGGGGTCTCCAAATGTGGCCACTTTAAGGCTTGTGGACTTCAACTCCCAGAATTCCTCTACCAGCATAGCTCAAGGCAGTGAAGCACCCTCAATTCCCGGAGCCAAGCTGCTCTATCCATCCATCCTTCCCTCCCTGTCTGTCTACCTATCTCTCTCTTTCCTGTATGTCTGTCTCTCCATCTCTCTCTCTAGCTCTATCTATCCCTATGTCTCTATCATCTCTCTCTCATATGTCTGTCTTTCTCTCTATGAATGTCTATCTATTTCTAGATCTATCTATCTATCTATCTATCTATCTATCTATCTATCTATCATCTCTCTCTTCATTTCTCTCTCTTATCTATCCATCTATCTATCTATCATCTCTCTATCATCTATCTTTCTCTCTCTTCATCTCTCTCTGTCTATCTATCATCTATCTATCATCCATCTCTATCTACCTACCTACCTACCTACCTACCTATATATCTATCTATCTATCTATCTATCTATCTATCTATCTATCATCTTTATCTTCTCTCTCTCTATCCTTTCTCTCTCTCTTCATCACTCTCTTTCTATCATCTATCTCTATCTATCTTATCTATCTATCTATCTATCTATCTATCTATCTATCTATCTATCATCTTTCTCTTCATCTCTCTCTCTATCCTCTTTCTCTCTTCATCACTCTCTATCATCTATCTCTATCTATCTATCTATCTATCTATCTATCTATCTATCTATCTATCGATCTATCTATCGATCTATCATCTATCTAATCTATCTTGTCTTTCTCTTCTATGATCTCTTACTCTCCCTTAGTTACCTTTCATCTCTTTCTCCAGTCTGTCTGTCTGTCTCTCTTTATCTCATCCAATTTATATAGCTGCCCATCTCACAAATATTCCAGGAAGTAAGATCAATAATTAGATAAAAAGCCTTTTCTGAACTGAGATTATTTCTTTGAGGGAGAGAGTGCTAAATTGATTACTCAAGGTCTTATTCCATTTTGATTTCTAGCTGCTAAGAGAGCCGTGCTAAATGAACAACAGAGACTTAAAAAACTGTTTACAATTGAAAAATGGTGTTCAAAGTACGGACTGTGACTCTGGCTGAGAAAAAGAGCCAGAGATAGAATTCAAGTTTTAAACACACAGAGCCAAACTGCAAGTTTATTGATTCTGGAATGATGACAGATTTTAATTCTGTTTTAATCTCTGTTATTTTTTTTTACTCTTTCATACTGTTGTATGTTTTTATGGTAAACTTCCCAGAGTCTCTTAAGTGACACAGACGGTGTAGAAATTTGGTCCATAAATAAGTAAATAAATATAGCCATAAAATGTAACAAATGTGTTTTCTGATCATTTCAAGTATTGCAAAGTATTTCAAGTATTGCAATCTTGTTAAATGAATTTTTTAAAAATTATATTGTATTGTACTGTAATATACCATTATACTTTATATTATATTATATTATTTAAATTCAGGTCACAACCTTTGCAATCCTTTACACTGTTCTGAGCCAAAAAAGGTGTAACAAACAAAAATTTTCTGAGTATATTGAGGATTGCAAATTTGTAATGTTACAATGAAATAAAAAAATTAAATTAAATTAAATTAAATTAAAGTCACAACCTCTGCAATCCCTTACACCATTCTGAGCCAAAGAAGTTGCAACAAAGAATTTTTCTGAATTTTTCTGTAGGTTTGTAAAGTTACAATGAAATGAAATCAAATGAAAAATTATAATTGAATTATTGAATTAAATTTACAACCTTTACAATTCCTGATACCATCCTTAGCCAGCAAAGTTGGGAAAAAAACCCCAAAGGACAGATTCACGTTGAACAGCCAATGGGGTTCGGGATCTCCTTTGAAGGTGTCGTACAAGGAAGTGATAGCGAAGACTTTGTCCAAAGGGATCTCACCCACCTGACAGAAGAGCTGATTGTTGTCCTCTGAGACCAAGAGAAGACAGCAACATTGAGACTGGGTCTCCTGCTTCAGCTGGAGGAGGAGGAGAAGAAGAAGAAGAAACATGGAGAGTCTTGGACAAGACCAGCATAGCGTGGAGATGAACAGAGATGATCAAAGGGTCTCGAGATTGAAACATATGATGAACGGTTGAGGGAACTGGGAATATCTACTTTAAGAAAGAGAAGGACTAGGAGTGACATAATAGCAATCTTCCAATACTTGAGGGACTGTCATAGAGACGGTTGACTTATTCTTCAACGCACAAACAGTGTGAGAGAGTTGGAAGGAAGCTTGGAGGTCTTCTAGTCCAACCCCTCGTTCAAGCAGGAGATCCTACACCATTTCAGACAAATGGTTGTCCAATCTCTTCTTGAAATCTTCCAGTGATGGACCACCCACAACTTCTGGAGGCAAGTCGTTCCACTGATTAATTGCTCTCACTGGCAGGAGATTTCTGCTTAGTTCTAGGTTTCTTCTCTCCTTGATGAGTTTCCATCCCTTGCTTCTTGTCCTGCCTTCGGGTGCTTTGGAGAAATGGGTGGAAGATCATTAAAGAGAGGCGCAGTCTAGAACTAAGGAGAAATTTCCTGACAGTGAGAACCTTTAACCAGTGGAATGACTTGCCTTCAGAAATTGTGGATGCTCCATCACTGGATGTTTTCAAGAAAAGGTTGGATGACCACTTAACCAGTATGGTAGTCCCAAAGGCGATTTTTCAGGAGGCAACTGGACTTCCTTGTTTTTTCTTTGAAGACAAGAAAGATGAGAAGCAAAACGTCTTCAAAAGAAAAAAACCCAGAAAATCCAGTTGCCTCCTGAAAAAGCACCGTTGGGACTATCATGACCTGAATGACGGAGAATCTCCGTAGACGTTTGACCAACATGGTAGTTTCCTGCACTGAGCAGAAGCTGGACTACAAGACCTCCAAGGTCCCTCCCGGCCCTAAGGTTCTACGTTCTATAGACTTATTATTCCTCTCTGTGTGGAGCAGGGGTGGGTCCTACTTACCTTTACTACCGGTTTGCAACGGGATCGCTCTCGCGCAGATCACTTCTCATGTCGTCAGGATCAGTGGGCGGAGCCTCCCGTCAGTTTTACTACCGGTTCTATAGAACCGGTCCGAACCGGGGGCAACCCGGTAGTACAGTGGTTTAATGCACCCTGTAATTAACACAGCTGCCTGCAATTTCTGCAGGTTCGAATCTTACCAGGCTCAAGGTTGACTCAGCCTTCCATCCTTTCTAAGGTAGGTTAAATGAGGACCCAGTTTGTGGGGGCAATAAGCTGACTTTGTATAAATATACAAAAGGATGAAGGCTATTGCTTAACGCACTGTAAGCCGCCCTGAGTCTCCAGAGAAGGGCGGCATATAAATCAAATTAAAAAAAAACAAACAAACCCACCACTGGTATGGAGGTCAAACTTTATCTAGAAATCAAACTAAGCTAAGATTTTTCAACCTCGGCCACTTTAAGGTGAGTGGATTTCAACACCCAGAATTCCCCGGCAGTGGGATAGGTCCGGCCCCATTTTTTAAAGGAAGGATCAAGCAGAAAACTCGTTATGGCTCCATCCGGGGCTGATCAACACTCAGAAAATGCTAATTACTCACGTAATTAATGACTTTGAGCTGGAGGGAGGCTGCATCCAGATCGTACAGCTCCCCTGAAAGGCAACAGATGCAGATTTTACGGGTTGAGTGATTGGAATGACAAAGTTGGCACGCTCGACACACAACACCGGGTGGCACACATCGCCCATAAACAGTGGCACGGCGATGTAAAACAAGAAGTGAAATGTTCAGCCATGCCCACATATAATAAAAACGAGACAGGTTCCTTATATACGACAGACTGAATTACGCAACGCAGCAAATACGGATACAGGTGGCCCCTGACTTATGACCACAATTCAGCCCCCATTTTCTGTTTTTAAGGGAGCACTGCCTCATTTTACGACCTTTCTCCCCCCCCCATTGATAAGCGAATCTGTTCAGTTCTTAAGCCAGGAACACAGTGGTTAAGCAAAACTGGCTTCCCCATTGACGTCACTTGTCAGAAGGTCACAAAAGCGGATCACGTGACCCCGGGACACTGCGATGGTCGTAAATACGAGTCAGTTTCCAAGCGTCCGAATTTTAATCATGTGACCGCAGGGGATGCTGCAATGGTCATAAGTGTGGAAACCGGTCATCAGTCACTTTATTCAATGCCATTATAACTTTGAGTGGCCACTAATCGAATGGTTGTAAGCAGTGCTGGGATTCAGCTGGTTCGGGCCGGTTCGGGCGAATTGGTTGTTAAATTGCTGCTGGCCTGCTCCTTTCAGGAGTCCCCATGCACTCCATTTTGGCTCCCAGGTAAGTGCAGGGAGGCCTCCTATGCCCAAAACGGGGCACGGGAGGGGGTGTCCCCCTGCGGCCCATTTTTGCTCCCAGTGGGGTGCAGGAGTGCTACCTGGCCACGCCCATCATGGCCACGCCCACCCAACTGATCATTAGTGCAGAGAACCGGTTGTGAAATCATTTGAATCCCACCACTGGTTGTAAGTCGAGGATTTCCTGTTTAATAACCGGCAAAGTTTGCTTCGTTCCTTTAATCAGGGCTGGGGAACTACGGCCCCTTTGTGGACTGCGGACTTCAACTCCCAGAATTCCTGAGCCAATTGAGGACCACCTGCATACAAAGTTGGTTAATGATGGTCCCTCCTTCCCCTTCAACCTCTTGGCCGTCCGTCTGTCCATCCTTACCGCACAACTGCAGGATCTTGCTGTCCAGCTCGCTGTAGCTGCTCCTGGGGGGCTCCACAGGTTTGGCCTGGCAAGACTGCAACTTCCGAAGGCTTTGGAGACGCTTGTAGGACACCAGGATCTGGAAAACAAACCACGTTCACAAATGAAGAAGTCATAAAACAACCCTGTCTAGCTAAAAGAGGGCTAAATAACTCATTGGGACACGAGGAAGCCCTCTTGGCTACATTCACACAATGCTGGGTACCTAATTCAAATTTATTTAAAAGCCAAATTTATTTAATATTTTTAAATTATTTTAAATTGATGCTGATTCTGTTTTAAATAGGCTGTACACCGCCCTGAGTCCTTCGGGAGAAGGGCGGTATAGAAATAAAATTATTATTATTATTATTATTATTATTATTATTATTATTATTATTATTTCACCACCTTGCCTCGGTTTCCACAAGGGTGCATTTGCCTGGGAACTCCAACCTAGATCCAGAATCAGAATAGAGCTGGAAGAGACCTTGGAGGTCTTCTAGTCCAGCCCCCTACTCAAGAAGGAAACCCGATGCAATTTCAGACAGGTGGTTGTCCAATCTCATCTTGAAAACCTCCAGTGTTGGAGTAACCATAACTTCTGGTGGCAAGATGTTCCACTGGCTAATTGTCCTCACTATTAGGAAGTTTCTCCTTAATTCCAGGTTGCTTCTCTCCTTGCTTAGTTTCCATCCGTTGTTTCTTGCCCTGCCTTCAGTTCAGGTGCTTTGGAAAATAAGTTGACCCCCTCCCCTCTTCTTTGGGGCAGCCCCTCAAGTATTGGAAAACAGATATCATGTCACCCCTAGTCTTCCTTTTCTCTAGACTGGCCAAGCCCAAAACCTGCAACTGTTCTTCCTTTTTTTTTTTTTCTCCAGGCCTTTAATCATCTTAGTTGCTCTTCTTTGCACTTTTTTTTCCAAAGTCTCAACATCTTTTTTGTAATGTGGGGACCAAAACTGGATGCAGGATTTCCAGGGGTGGCCTTGTTAAGGCTTTATAAAGCGGTACTAACACTACACGTGGTTTTGATTCCATGCCTGTATCTCAACTCCAGTGTTTTACCAATCCTGGTTTAAGCATTCTGTGTAAATATTTAGAACATTTAGAATAACGGAGTTCGAAGGGACCTGGGAGGTCTTCTAGTCCAACCCCCTGCTTAGGCAGGAAACCCTACACCACTTCAGACAAACGGTTACCCAACCTCTTCTTAAAATCTTCCAGTGTTGGAGCATTCACATGGACAAAAATACAACTGGCGTGGACACTTGACGGGTACAGAAGCAAGCCCACAAAAGTTAGAACTGATTAAATTACAGGTAGCCCTCGATTTATGATCGCCACCGAGCCCCAAATATCTGTTGTTAAGGCAGGACAGTTGTGAAGTGAGTTTTGCCTCACTTTTACGACCTTCCTTGCCACAGTTGTTAAGTGAATCACTGCAGTTGTTAAGTGAATCTGGCTTCCTCACCGAATTTGCTCATCAGAAGGTCTCAAATCACGTGATATATATGAGTATGAGTCAGTTGCCACTTAATTCCCTTGCTTGGCGATGGAGTTTTGGCCTCAGCTGCGGTTGTGAGTCGAGATTTACCTGTAATTTATTTATTTTTTTGTGATGTCAGGACGCAGAAGGAAAGGGGAGAGATTCCAGCCCCTACATTCTTCAAGGATTTTATGAACGGTGGGTTTACTTACATGCTTCTCTAAAGCCCGAAGGTTTTGCTCATCCGAGTCCGAAAGTTGCCCGCAGTAGACCTGGGGAAATTAAAGTAAAGAAATCAAAAGAGGAATGGACACATTGTGAGCATGTGCAGAGGGCCAGGTGGAAATTAACAAAACGTCATTGCAAAGGGCGGGAAATGGGGGCCAAAAGGACTCAAAGCACTACAAAGCCCATTACACTGTAATCAGAACATCCTAGAACAGAGGTCTCCAGCCTTGGCCACTTTAAGACTTGTGGACTTCAACTCCCAGAATTCCTCAGAATTCCCCAGAATTCTGGGAGTTGAAGCCCACAAGTGTCTTAAAGTGGCCAAGGTTGGAGACCCCTGTTCTGGAGAACGTTCTTAAATAAGCTGAAGGAGCTGGCAAACCTGGTTTAGATCCTTGTCTAAGATTCTAAAGCACTGTTCCCCAACCTTGGCCACTTGGAAGAGGGGTGGGCTTCAACTCCCAGAATCCCCCCAGCTTGCGATGCCGGGTGAGGAATTCTGGGAGTTGGAGTCCACCCGTGGTCAAGGTTGAGATCCACAGGTGGAATTTGGCACCTTGGGATGCCAAAATTCTGGAAGTTGAAGTCCATAAGTCTTAAAGTAGCCAAGGCTGGAGTTGTGGCCCATCAGAGGCCTGTGTAGCTAGTAGCTGATTCTGACAGCGAGGAGGCTGGTGTGGTGCTGTGCCAGCAGCCTGTGTAGCTGGCGCTCGAGTCGGACACTGAGGAGGCTGGAGAAGATGCGGTGCCAGAGGCGGGGATTCAGCCAGGGCCTTCAGAACCTCCAGAAGCTCCCATAAGTGAAGAGGACGAAGAGGAGGAGCCTCTCCTCGATGCACGGGTGCGCAGAGCCTCCAAAAGTCAGGAGTGGCTCCTCAGGAGGAGGTCTCCTCGAGAGTAAGGCTTGGGGCTAATTGGCCACTCCCTTTGCCTATTTAAGGAGGAATGCCGACTGAAGCAATTTGCAGGGAACAACTTCGTTCACATTCCTTCGTGTCTTCATTCCAGAAATGTTTTATTTGGCTCTTGTTTCTCTCGTCAGTTTTCCTGCAAATTGCTTCTGGGCATTTGGCCAACCACAGTAAGATTACGGTTATCTGAAATACTGTGCCTCAGAATTATTATTAGAGTTATTATTCTTTGAATTCTTGTCGACTGTTAATGAAGTTAAATTAACAGCCCTTGTTCAGAAAAGGCTGATTTAAACTGTACTTGTGTTCGAACAACTACTAAGAAAGCTCATTAGCAGTCCTTAATTAGTAAACTAAGGTTTATACGGACTTTGTGTGTGCTGCGTTCTTTGGGGTACGTAGCTGGGGCAGAACAGCTGGAGACCCCTGTCCTAGAACAAGACCGGTTCTCAACCTTGGCTTTAAGATGGCTGGACTTCAACTCCCAGAATTCCCTAGCCGGAGTTGCTGTTACTGAGATGGGCCACAGATAAAGCTAAGGAATTAAAACCAATAAAGATCAAACAAAAAAGACAGGACAGGAATTTTTGAATTAATAAATTTAAATGGTTCTGTTTTACTTTTCTTTGAATCCATTTCATTCATATTTTAGTTAATAAACAGACATATTAAAAAAAAAAAACTAGTGCAACAGGAGCACTAGTTTAATTTATTAATTGAATTGAATTGTTTTTTTTATTTTAGTGTATTAATTTCTTCTAATTTCATATATATATATATATATATATATATACATAAACCCTACGAAGAAGTAAGAAAATTGATACTGTGCCTTTACAGGGAGGATATGGGTGTGGCCTACTGATGACAGCTAACGAGCTTGAAATGGATCTATTTAGGTCTCCCACCTAGCAGTGAGAGCTTGCTAGGTGTTAGAAAAGAAAAAAGCCCAGAACCGAGTAGATGAGATTCTACTGAGCTGGAGCTACAAAAAAACCTTGGCTACGTAGGGAAAACCTGGCTAGAAGAAAAACACACATAAACCCTACGAAGAAGTAAGAAATATATATATATATACACACACACACACATATGTAGGTCTTTGGTTATTCGGGTTTTCTCCCGCATAAAATTGGAAGTGTCTTGGCGACGTTTTGACGAAGTCTCATTCGTCATCTTCAGGCTGGTGTTTTCGGCTTCGTGCTTCTAGGAGCAATGTGAGATCACAGTTGTTTCTTGCTGCTTGCTGTTTCACATTGCTCCTTGCTTGCTTGCTGCTTGCTGTTTCACATTGCTCCTAGAAGCACGAAGCCTGAAATTGAACCATCCGGGATCCAAAAGGCTAAGGCTGATTAGGAAACGAGACCTGCCTTTCAGGCCAAAGGAGTCATTCAAGTCATCATCTAGGGCAGCCCCATGGAAGTCACACGGTCATGGTCAGGAGGTGTGTGATATTTACTTTTTATTTAGTTTGTTTATGTATCAGACTTCTTAACTGCCCCTCTGTCGCTCATAGACAGGGATATTTCTTTCACCCCATTTCTTTTCCTGTGGACTCCCACGGCTGGGATGAGAATGTGGGTAGACAAGAAGGGATAAAACCAGTGGTAATAAGAGAGATATGCTGTTCCACCCCCACCCCCCAAAAATCGATCTTTGTCCAAAAGCAAACAAACAGCCGGAGCAAAAGATTTAAGGAGCAAAACTCAAAGATAACCAGAAACCCTGAGATGGATGACATTCTGACTGTGATCCATCCATCAATAAGCATCAATAATTCAAGAAAGAAGCAATCCATTGAAGCTCTGGAGGGCCTTAAGAAACGTGGTTAAAAATGGATCTTGGCTGTCTCCATCCAGCCTTTTCTTCCCCGTAAAACCACCGAAGATAAAACAGAAAAAATTGACGTGGAAACAAACCAAGGATTTCTTCTGTGTTTCGTATGCCCGTTTTTTCCCCTTCCTGGTGTCCTCCAGAGCTCTCTTCGGATGTAATCCATGCTCTAACAGGGGGTTCTCAATTTACGATCCTAATGGAGGCTGTCCATCATGGTCTTAAATCGGGACGGTCGTAAAACTGACCTGATTTTTTCCCCCCACCTTTTTTTGGTGAACGTGCCAAGGTCGTGAAGTGAACCAAGGCTCACTGTAGCATCTGGTTTTGCAGAAAACTGAAAGTTATTATCTGTATTTTCATTGTGATTTGGGAGGTCTTCTAGTCCAGCCCCCTGCTTAAGCAGGAGACTCTGCCCTATACCATTTCAGACAAGTGACTGTCCAGTCTCTTCTTGTGGAGTTGGGATCATAGAAACACCCAGGAGCATAGAAGAGTTCAGAGGCAGATGCATGAATAAATGTCTTAAACATATTTATTCATATGATAAATCATATTAACTATGTACAACAGAGATCAAGTCTCATGAGGAACAAACATGAAAAGAGGTCGATGGATCGAAACCATCCTCTGCTACCATTCTGTGGAATTGGGATCGTAGAAACACCCAGGAGCATAGAAGAGTTCAGAGGCAGATGCATGAATAAATGTCTTAAACGTATTTATTCATATGATAAATCATATTAACTATGTACAACAGAGATCAAGTCTCATGAGGAACAAACATGAAAAGAGGTTGATGGATCGAAACCATCCTCTGCTACCATTCTGTGGAATTGGGATCGTAGAAACACCCAGGAGCATGGAAGAGTTCAGAGGCAGATGCATAAATAAATGTCTTAAATGTATTTATTTATATGATAAATCATATTAACTATGTACAACAGAGATCAAGTCTTACGAGGAACAAACATGAAAAGAGAGAGATGGAGAGAGCAAGGTGGAAAAGGTTGGAGGGGGTTTTATACTCAGGGTAAGCCCCTCCTTTCCACATAGGGGTGGAGACACTCTCTGCCTCCACTGGTGTTTATATGACACATGTGCCAATGGCTTGCAAATACTTGACACTTCTTAAAAACTAGCAGTAATCCCATGATTTCTGGTGGCAAGCTGTTCCACTGGTTAATTGTTCTCGCTGTTAGGAAGTTTCTCCTTAATTCCAGGTTGCTTCTCTCCTTGATTAGTTTCCATCCATTGTTTCTTGTCCTGCCCTCTGGTGCTTTGGAAAATAAGTTGACCCCTCCTCTTTGTGGCAGCCCCTCAAATACTGGAGCACTGCTATCATGTCTCCCCTGATCCTTCTTCTCTTTAGACTAGCCAAACCCAAATCCTGCAGCGGTTCTTCCTATGTTTTAGACTCCAGGCCTTTGATCATCTCAGTTGCTCCTCTTCTCTGAGCTTTCTCCAAAGTTTCAACATCTTTTTGGTAGCGTGGTGACTAAAATTGGTTGGAGTATTCCAGGTGTGGTCTCTCTTAATTAGGGTTTTACAAAGCGGCACTAATTTCCGTTATGTGATTGCAAGGAGCAATCGTTGCAACTTCAAATCCGGGTTGTAAGTACTCTTCCCAAGTAGACGTCCGTTGTAACTTAAGTGGCAGGTCATAAATCAAGGACTGCCTGTGTTGGGCCGCTAACTGACACCCTGGCCTAGCTGCAGAGTTATTGCTAGAGGGACAGGCAATGGCCAGGGTGGGCAGCTATGGTGACTTTACAACCTGTGGACTTCAACTCCCAGAATTCCTGAGCCAGCCATGCTGGCTGGCTCAGGAATTCTGGGAGTTGAAGTCCACAGGTTGTAAAGTCACCATAGCTGCTCACCTCTGGGCAACACAGCAGGGCAGGACCTCATACCGTTTGTTGAAGCTTCTTCTCAGGGGAGTAAAGGTCAAAAAAGTCAAGATGGCAGCCAGAACACTTTTTTAAAAAAAGGAGCTGGGTGTTCTGTCCCCGTTCCACTCACGCACCCCCACAGGCGGCCCGGAGTTAATAAACCACATGACAAAATTCTTTGATGATAAAGCTGGCAGCAACCCAGTGGCTAGCTGCCAATTCAGACTTTACTCACACAAAACAAAGATTAGACTGCCAGCATTCCGATAAAACAGGCAGAGTTTTCAACAATACAAGGATTAATCCAAATGCAGTCCGATAAAGCAGGCAAATTCCAGTAACGCAGAGATCATGGATTATTTCTAGTTTTTGCTCATCACAAACTGAACTGGCCACCACACACACATTTATACCCTGTGGGGTGTGGTCCAGTGACTCAGCTAATCTCTGGCACGCCTTCCCCTCTGCTGCGCACGCTTCTCCCTGCGCCGTTGTCGAGGATCCAGCCAGCACTTATCTCCTTCGTCGCTGTCCACCTGTGGCTGCGGGGACGTGCTTGGCTCTAGCCTATCTCTTGGCCTTCGGTGTCCTCCGGAGGCATTGCCAGAGAGGAGGGTCCTGGAGAGGGAGGCCTTGCCAACTCCTCTCCCTCACTCTCAGAGTCTGCATCTGTCGATAGCCCAGGCTCAGGCAACGGAGCCACAACACTGGGTTTTGATTGCCAAGTGGCTTGTGAGCTGCCATCTTGACCTTTTCTGCCCTCCCCTCCCTAAGGACACCTTTATAACGATGACATTACGTGTCACTAACTCTGTTTTCCGGGGACTTTCCCCCCACCCACCCCCAGATACTCACTAGGATAACACAGACCACAGCCCCCGAACTCTTGTCCACCAAAGGATTGATTAACACTGCAAAAAAAAAGGGAGAAAAAAAGGAGGAAGAATTAAATAATTAAATTAAATAATTAGCCCAAAGGGAGAAACTGACATTATTCAATCCTAGGCAACTAACGCTGTCAACTTACGTCATAGTTCCTGATTTATGACCGTGATTGGGGATCAGAAGTTCCGTTGTTAAACGAGGCAACTGTTAAGCGAGCCAGGCCCAATTTGACAAACTCTTTTGTTGTTAAGTGAATCCGTCAATTCCTTACCTTGCTTGCCGGCGGCTAAGGGGGCAGCCAAGCCGGCCACCGGCTTGCCCTGCAGCTCGGCCAATGGCAGCCCGTTGCAGGCCACCCTCTTCTGCTGAAGGACGGCATCTCTGGAAGGACGAAAAAAGAGGGATTAAGCAAAAACAGAAGCAAAAGCAGCAAATTTGGAATTTCAATCCCAATTCAATTCCTCGATTCCCAACTGGGAAGAAGAGCCGAGGCGAATGGCTTAAAGGGGAACCATCCAAGAAGAGAAATTCCGGTTTGGTTCTGGGATAAGAGACCACCAGGAGATCCTACAACAGAAGGATAGCCTCAGAAGCTGGACAAACATCCCAAAGGAAACTGCGCTTGTTGGGTCTTCACAAGCCAAGCACCAAACAAGGTTTGATTGCCTTCAGCCCTAAGTAGGAATGGCAGAGAGTCACGGCAGCAATTCCAGACACAGTCTAGTCTAGTGGTTAAAGGCAACCAGCTAGAAACAAGCGATCTCTAAGTCCTGACTTAGGTAAGAAAGACTTTGAGTGAGTTCTAGTCCTGACTTATGCATAAAAGTTGGCTGGGTGCCTTTGGGCCAGTCATTAGGAGACAGTGAATTCTAGTTCCGCCTTAGGCATGAAAGCTGGCTGGGTGACTTTGGGCCAATCACCAGGTGACAGTGAGTTCTAGTCCCCGCCTTAGGCATGAAAGCCGGCTAGGTGACTTTGGGCCAATCACCAGGTGACAGTGAGTTCTAGTCCCGCCTTAGGCATGAAAGCCGGCTGGGTGACTTTAGGTCAATCACCAGGTGACTGTGAGTTCTAGTCCTGCCTTAGGCATGAAAGCCAGCTGGGTGACTTTGGGCCAATCACCAGGTGACAGTGAGTTCTAGTCCCGCCTTAGGCATGAAAGCCAGCTGGGTGACTTTGGGCCAATCACCAGGTGACAGTGAGTTCTAGTCCCGCCTTAGGCATGAAAGCCCTAGGTGACTTTGGGCCAATCACCAGGTGACAGTGAGTTCTAGTCCCGCCTTAGGCATGAAAGCCGGCTGGGTGACTTTAGGTCAATCACCAGGTGACTGTGAGTTCTAGTCCTGCCTTAGGCATGAAAGCCAGCTGGGTGACTTTGGGCCAATCACCAGGTGACAGTGAGTAGTCCCGCCTTAAACATGAAAGCCAGCTGGGTGACTTTGGGCCAATCACCAGGTGATGGTGAATTCTAGTCCTGCCTTAGGCATGAAGTCCACCTGGTCTCTCTCACTTAGCCCAACCTACCTGACAAGGTTGTTGTGAGAAAAAACCAACAAAATATCGTATAAAAGTCAAGATGTGCCACGGAAGAAACACACCTGAAAAAAAGGTGAAGTTTCCATCCTACCTCATGTCTGCCATCTTGACTTTTTAGACCCCCCCCCCCCCCCCCCCCCCCCCCAGCTGAAGAGGGAGACCAACGTCTCTCTCCGTCGTTCTCCAAACTGAGCTGGCCCTTTCTTTGCTTTTGAGCTGATGCCCTTCCCTTCCCCCTCACCTGTGCCACCTGTCCGAAGAGTCACCTGAAGCAGGTAAACAGTTTATCCCTTGATCTGAATTGGAACCGGTTTCCCTGAGATCAAGCAAAGGATTACTGACGTCTCTTCCTTCCCTCTCATTCTGGAGATTTCTTTTCTCCCCAAAGAATTCCCTAGCCCTTCTTGAGAGCTTCTTGGTTTTGTGTTTGTGTGTTTGTGTGTGTGTGTCTGGGTTGCTTTCATCCTGGGAGATGAAAAACACCCTCTCAGGGAGGGTTTTTTTCTGCCTTTGGCCCCACACTCGAGCGGAGAACCGTTTCTCATTCGTTCTTATTCTGCTCGGCTGCCTTCACAGATGTGGGGAGATAAATTTGGCTCTGATAAGTGAATGAAAAATCACCGAAGCTGGACAGGGTTCAAGATCCAGGGAGAGAGAGGAGAGAGAAGAGAAAAGAGGAGAGGAGACAGACAGTTTCAAAGAACATAGAATAATAGAGTTGGAAGGGACCTTGGAGGTCTTCTAGTCCAACCCCCCTCACTTGAGCAATATATGATGGTAAACCTGTGGCACGTGTGCCAGAGGTAGCACACAGCGCCCTCTCTGATGGCACATGAGCTGTTGCCCCAGTTCAGTCTGCCGCGCATGGGCACGTGCCTCCTGCCAGCCAGCTGGTCTTTGGGTCTCTGCCGTGCATGCATGAGGGGTGTGGGGTGTGGGGGGGGCCATGCGCACATGCAGGGGGGTTGGGGTGTCTGGGGGGCATGCACGCATGCATAGGGTGTGGGGCGTATGCGCAGGGGCCAACCATTGCATTTTGGGGGTTTGGGCACGCATTTGTGCATTCTCACATGCGCGCATGTGCTTTGGGCACTCGATCTGGAGAAGGTTAGCCATCCCTGGTATATCCTATACCATTTCAGATAAATGGATGTCCAGTCTCTTTTTGAAAGCCTCCAAAACTTCTAAAGTTGCTCTATTCTGGAGGCAAGTCGTTCCATCGGTTGATTGCTCTCGAAGTTAGGAATTTTCTCCTCCGTTCTAGGTTCCAAGGAATGTATTAGCTTTTTTGGCTTCTGCCGCACACGGTTGGCTCATGTTTAAGGGATCGTCCACTAGGACGCCAAGGTCCCTCTCCCAGTGACTGTTGTTGAGCCAGGTTGCACCTAATCTGTACTTGTAGCTTTGGTTTTTCCTGCCCAGGTGTTAAAAACCTTGCATTTCTCCACATTAAATTTCATTTTGTTGGACGCGGCCCATTTTTCAAGTCTGTCAAGATCTTTTTGGATCCTGAGCTTGTCTTCTAGGGTGTTGTCTACTCCTGCCAGCTTCGTATTGTCTGCAAATTGGAAAGGTCTAATTTCAAGACGCAAGTCTCCTTCTTCAGGCTAGACCTGAAAAAGTCTTTAGGTCAGAAGAGACAAAGCTAAGTGAGATTTGGGGCAGTTTCTCCTCTTCAAATAGAGTCTCTCCTCACCTGTGGTGGGGATCATGATCTGCTCCTGCTTTTCTTTTCTCTTGGATGAACAGCTTGTCAAAAAAAACCTGTTGTTAAGATTTATGGCCAGAGTCCATTTGGCATTTTAGAGGGTTTTTTTATAATGAAGCATAAAACTACTAATAAAATCCAGGCCATTTGCATTTTGGGGAGAAGAGTTTTACAGATGGAAATTCAGAATGGAAGAGGCCTTGGAGATTTTCCAGCCACAACCTTCTGCCTGGGCAGGAATCCACCACTTTAGTAGGTCCAAAATACTGTTTAAACCCTCCATCAAAGGGCACCGTTATAAGAGAATATATGTAGTTCAGGGTTGAAGAGACTCCATAATCTCACAACACACGCACGGATTCAGCCAGAGTTTCAACTGGAAGCCCTGAGCATCCTAGACATAGCCAAATCCAAAATCCTAGGGAATTCCTGGAAACCTGGCAGTCAGATAAACCAACCATCAATAGGAACACAGAGATAAATCACATTTACACAGCATTCAAAAGAGACAATAAAAAAAGCTAAGGAGGAAATCAAAAGATCAGAACATATTCTCTCCCGCAGCCAACACCCAGATAAGCAGGGATTAAACCCAGACAAATAATCAAGCAGAAAACAATACTCTAATCAAGGCACTATCAAAGAAAAACAACAACAACAGACTCCCACCCACACTGGCATGGCAAACCACTTGTAACCAGAACCGGATGCAATATTCCAAGTGTGATTTTACTAAGGCATTATAAAATGGTACTAACACTTTAGGTGATCTTGATTCTATCCCTCTGTTAATGCAACCTAAGATTGGCCTTTTTGGCAGCTGCTGCACATGGCTGGCTCCTGTTTAAGTGATTGTCCACTAGGACTCCAAGATCTCTCTTGCAATGGCTACTGTTGAGCCTGGTGTCACCTATTCTCTACAGATAGTCCTTGACTTACAACAGTTTAGAATAGAATAGAATAGAATAGAATAGAATGGAATGGAATGGAATAGAATAGAATAGAATGGAATAGAATAGAATAGAATAGAATAGAATAGAATAGAATAGAATAGAATAGAATAACAGAGTTGGAAGGGACTTTGGAGGTCTTCTAGTCCAACCCCCTTCTTAGGCAGGAAACCCTACACCATTTCAGACAAATGGTTATCCAACCTCTTCTTAAAAACTTAAAAACTTCCAGTGTTGGAGCATTCACAACACTGAAGGCAAGTAGTTCCACTGGTTAATAGTTCTCACTGTCAGGAAATTTCTCCTTAGTTCTAGGTTGCTTCTCTCCTGGATTAGTTTCCACCCATTGCTTCTTGTTCTACCCTCAGGTGCTTTGAAGAATAGCTTGACTCCCTCTTCTTTGGGGCAGCTCCAGAGATATTGGAAGGCTGCTATCATGTCTCCCCTAGTCCTTCCCTTCACTAGACTAGCCATGCCCAGTTCCTGAAACCGTTCTTCATATGTTTGAGCCTCCAGCCCCCTCATTTTAGCCTCTTTGTGGCTCTTCCCTGCACTCTTTCTAGAGTCTCCACATCTTTTTTTACATCGTGGTGACCAAAACTGGATGCAATATTCCAAGTGTGGCCTTAACAAGGCGTTATAAAGTGGTATTAACCCTTCACGTGATCTTAATTCTATCCCTCCGTTTCATTCCTCTATCCCTGTTTCTATCCCTCAGTTCATTTAATGACTGTTCAAAGTTACAATGGCACTGAAAAATGTGACTTATCACCATCGTTTCACAGTTAGGATCTTTGCAGCGTGATCAAAATTCAGTCGCTTGGCAACTGCAACCTTTTGCAACCTTCTGACGAGCAAAGTCAACGGAGAAGGCAGATTCGCTTAACAACCGTGACAGGAAAAGTCGTAAAACGGGACGAAACTCACTTAACGAACGTCTCACTGAACCACAGAAATTTTGGGCTCAATTGCGGTCGTAAGTGGAGGACTACCTGTACTGTGGATTTGATTTTTCTTGCCTAGTTAGTAGATCTTTACCTTTCTCATGATTGTACTTCACTTTGTTAGTTCAAATCTGTCGAGATCCTTCTGGATCTTCAGCCAATCTCCAGATACGCCAATTCAAGGAAGAGGCCAGCCAATTAATGAAGTAGGACGGAGTAACCACGAGAAATGGGGAATGAAAG